ACCTCAAACTCCTCTCTATCTCTCACGATTCGATATCGGGAACCCGATATGAACCCTATTTTTTTTTTTTTTCACCCCTAAATTTAAACAAACGACGACGTTCTGTTAATAAATTACCCAAAATCAATTGATTTTGGTCAAGTCTAAACCGAATCACAATTGATTTTGGTCAAGTCTCAAACCGAATCAGACCCCGTTTGCCACGTCAGAATCCGTTAACGGGAAATTGACACCGTTGATGGTTTTGTGTAAATCGGCAATAATTTTGTAGATCATGTAGTAAATTCAAAATTAAGTGTAATTTATATGGTTTTTCGCCGATGTTAATAGTTCATGGATAAATTGTCGGGAACCCAATATTTCATGGGGGAATTGGCCGTTTTCCCGCTGAAGTAGATTGGCGAAATTGCGAAACAGTTTTTTATTATAGATTTTTATCACAAGAAAGTACAGACAATATTTAAGAGGTAACTCCCAAACACAAAGGAGGATCTTTATTAGTGAAAACCCAAACTAAAGCTTATGGTTTTGTCATAGGAACTAGGATTTGCAACACAGTGACACTTGAAGAAGTAACAGAGAACACTTTTCTTGCTTCAGCAATTGAAGTAGCAGAAACATGCAACACCCGGGAACTGAGCATGGCAAGCTCCATGTGAAGCACGTTCCCATCTCTTGCACTGACTGTCACAACCACGAGTGTTGGCACAAAACCCTGTCCATGTCTTGCTTCGCCTCTCGCAAATTCTGCCTTCCACCATCATCATCTCTGCAAATCCTCCAAAACACAAGATATCAAACATGTATAATAAAGAGAGTAGAGAAACCAAATAGAGTTAGAGGAACTTGAAGAGTGGAGTGATGATCATACCAGTAGAAGCAATGAGGAAGACAGAGAGGCAAAGGAAAAGCACAAGTGTGTAAGAAGAAGACATATGGCTTTTTTGTTATATGGTAATTTTCACTAGCTCAGAACTTCTTGTTGTATATATAGAAAAAGCTGAATCTTTTAATTTGATTAATTTTTGAATTTTTAAGCATTATCTACAACTGTCTTTGTGTTTAGTATAGTGTGAACGGGAAGAAACTTTCCAGCCTACTATTTTATCCAAACTCTTATCCATAAAATTTTCAATTTAGACTTTGTGATAAAAGAGTTTTGACGTCTAATTTGTTCGGACATGTTACTAACTTACTATGATACTAACGTACACAAATATATATATATGCAGTGGCGAATCTAAAAATTGTTTTCATTAGGATAGATTTAAAAACTACTAAATATTTTTATATAAAAAATGTTTAAACATCATAGAAATACCTAATGAAGGGGCATAAAATAATGTATCATGCATGGACATATTTAAAAATTCTAAGAAAATTAGCCTAATTTTTTTTTTATGGTGGGCAAATGCCCCCTTGCTAACACTCTGTATTCGCCCATGTATATATATATATGCGTTTATATATTAGTTCAAGTTTTATGTTTGCATCTAAAATCATAAACTTACTAATCGGCTTATCATA